TTGGAAGTGAAGTCTTGCATTTGAGTCAGTATTGCCATGAAACTTAAAAGACAGCTCTGGGCAGCAGGTTGTGTGTCCTTTGGCCATCGGTTGACTTTGGGGTGTTCTGGGTAGAATGCTGAATAACGGAGGAGCTGATGGATTGGGGTGGCGAGTGCAGAGCCTTGTCGGGATGGGTGTCACGGTGTTTCTAGACAAGCAGATAGAGTAAGTTCTGGCTGTAGCAAGGTGAGGTTGGCCTGTTCTCCCAGGTGACAGCAGTAGAATGAGAGAGAATGGCCTCGAGTTGTGACAGGGAAGGTTCGGGTTGGATATTAGGAAAAAATTCTTCTCAGAAAGAGCAGTGCTGCACTGGCACAGGGGGTAGTAGAGTCACCGTCCCTGGAGGTGTTCCAGAACCATGTGGATGTGGCACTGAGGACATCAGCAGTGGGCATACTGGGGATGGGCTGACGCTTGGACTGGGTGATCTTAGAGGTCTTTTCCAGCCTTTGTGGGTTCTGTGGTTCTAACCCTTGAGTCCATTCTTGTAGGCCCAGATGTGGTGTGCAGGTGGTGGTCGGCAGCAGTCGCTATGGCCATTGGTTGGCTCAGAGGGGATGACACAGCTGTGAGGTCACGTTTCAGCGAAGTGGAGCGCCTGCCAAAGTCCCTGGAGATGTCTGAGTGCGTAGTGCTGCTCCTAAACTCCTACTTTTCCTTCTTTAGGCTGCAGCCTGTGCTGCACAGCCATGGGTTCCCTATGTGCTGAGGGTGGGCTTCTAAGAAAGATGAAGGGACATTTTTTTTTTATAGGTTCATGTAGTGATAGGACATGGGGTAATGGCTTCAAACACAAAGAGGGCAGGTTTAGGTGAGAAATAAGGAAGAAATTCCTCCTTATGGAGTGGAGCAGGTGACACTAACGTAGTACTTGAAAGCAGGGCTCTTTCTCTTCCAGGAACGCCCTGGTGAAAGCCACCTTCCACCTGTGCAAAGCTATGCAGGCCTCACTGTCATCAAAGGCGGATGGGCAGCAGAGCTCGCTGGGTCACTGTGAGAGGGCCAGCAGCCACCTGTGGAACAGCCTCAACATGAGCAGTGGTGCCTCCAGCACTCCCCTCAGCAATGTAAGGGCTGCGTACTGCAGGTGGCTTGTGATCTGTCGTGGCCTGGTCGTGTCTGTTCTTTCCGTTCATCCCGAGTCTGATAGGAGTATGGGGGATGCTTTCACCCTTTGCTTCTGAAGGGCATTGGCATTTTTTTCTGTCCCTGCTGTACAGAGGAGCAGTGCTGCAGGTGCTGTTGTTTCCTTCCAGTACCTGCCACTTCTTCTCTGCTGTGTTTTGTTTTTTGTCCACTTTGGCCTACGGAAAACCTCCATCTCTGTCCAGCCAGGGGCAGCTGCTGCCACCGGTGAGAAGGGACCTCATTATGTCAGGGCCACTCCGTTTCAGGCAGCATCAGAACCCTCTCCTGCATAAGTGGGACGGTGCTGTGCTATTCCTGAGGATGTGTGTTGCTTGTTTCTCTTCTCTCCAGGATCACCTCAAGGTGGAGCTTCCCTGCACAGCGTATGGGGACAGCTCACGTCCCTGTCGCTCCTGGGTGGCAGCTGTAGTGCATTGTAGTTGCATTGCATGTGCTGGCAGTAACTGTGCAATGTTCCTGCAGTGCAGTACAGAGGCGCTTTCCATTCGACAGAGCAGGTACTCTCTGAAGGGCAGCTGGAACAGCAAGCGTTGCTAGGGGGCAGCAACAGATGGGGAAAAGGGATTTGGCGAGCTGTGCAGCTCTGCTGTGCTCCTCGCCTGGTGCTGAGCGGTGTCTGCTCTGTGGCTCCCGCAGGTGATCCAGCTGCTGGCCTGTGACCTGCTGCTGTCCCTCCGCACCAGCCTGTGGCAGAAGCAGGCGAGCAGCAGCCAGGCGCTGGGTGAGACCTACCACGCTTCACCCTCTGAGCTCACTGGCTTTCAGCGTGACCTCGGCAGCCTGCGCAAGCTGGCCCACAGTTTCAGGCCTGCATACCGCAAGGTGAGCTTTGGCCCTTGCTCCTGGCAGAGGAGTGGGGAAGGAAAGAGTGGAGCACCACCTGTGTCTGCTCTTCTATTTTCTGCCCTCTTTCTGGCGGTTCGGCCGTCTCCCTTTCCAGGTTACTCAGTTACATGTCAGAAGCAATTTGTGCTTTTTTTTTTTTTTCTCCCAACTTTTTCTGTCTTTCCTCCCTCTTGCCCTGACCTGCAAACTGCAGGCAGGTGGATGTGGGCTCTGCTTGTTGTCAGGGTGTCAGCACTGTGCTGCTGACACAGCTGAGGGCTGCCTCCAGCCTACCCCTAACCACCCACCCTGCTGTCCCTCCAGGTCTTTCTTCACGAAGCTACTGTGCGCCTGATGGCAGGGGCCAGCCCTACCCGCACCCACCAGCTGCTGGAACACAGTCTCAGGCGCCGCACAACCCAGAGCAGCAAGCAAGGTCAGCATGGGGAGCTGCATTTGGCTGTGGCTATTTGGTGCTGTGTAGAGCCAGCCAGGAGTTGGTATTGGGGCCCATCCTATTTAATATCTTTATTGATTATTTGGATGAGGGGGTCGAGTGCACCCTCAGTAAGTTTGTAGACAGCACTAACTTTGGAGGAAGTGTCAATCTGCCTGAGGGTAGGAAGGCCCTACAGAGGAACCTGGACAGGCTGGATCTCTGGGCTGAGCCAGTGGGATAAAGTTCAACAAGACCAAGTGCTGGGTCCTGCACTTCGGTCACCCCATGCAACTCTACAGGCTTGGGGCAGAGTAGATGGAAAGCTACATGGTGGAAAAGGATTTGCGGGTATTGGTTAATGCTCAGCTAAACACAAGCCGGCAGTGTACCCAGGTGGCCAAGAAGGCCAATGGCATCTTGGCTTGTATCAGCAACAGTGCAGCCAGTAGGAGCAGAGAAGTGACCGTCCCTCTGTACTTGGCACTGGTGCTGTGTTCAGTTCTGGGCCCCTCACTAAAAGAAGAACATGGAGGCCCTGGAGTTTGTCCAGAGTAGGGCAGCAGAGCTGTGAGGGGTCTGGAGCATGAGTCTTATGGGGAGCAGCTGAGGGAACTGGGGTTGTTCAGTCTGGAGAAGAGGAGCTCGGGGGAGACCTTGTCTCTCTTTAAAACAAGCTGAAGGGAGGTTGTGGTGAGGTGGAGGTCAGCCTCTACCCACAGGTAACAGCAATAGGACAAGAGGGAATGGCCTGAAGTTACACTAGGAGAGGTTCAGGCTGGACATTAGGAACAATTTTTTCTCCGAAAGGGCAGTGCTGCAGTGGCACAGGCTGTCCAGGGAGGTGATGGAGTCACCATCCCTGGCTGTATTCAAGAAAAGGGTAGATGTGGCACTGAGGACATGGTTTAGTGGGCAGTATTGGTGGTAGTTGGGTGGTTGGAGTAGATGATATTATTGGTCTTCTCCAGTGTTACTGATTCTGTAATCACCCCCATAGCTGGGACTCTGCAAAAGGAGTTCCCTGGGGTGAGCAGCTCCCGTAGCTCTTTTCTCTGCTGGTTGCAGGGGAGCTGGACACACTGCCAGGGCAGAGGGAAAGAGCCACTGCCATCCTGCTGGCCTGCCGCCACCTCCCACTCTCTTTCCTGTCCTCGCCCAGCCAGCGTGCCGTCCTGCTGGCCGAGGCTGCACGCACGCTGGAGAAGGTTGGGGACAAGCGCTCGTGCAACGACTGCCAACAGATGATTGTCAAGCTGAGTGGGGGCACAGCCATCGCCGCCTCCTAACACCTCACCAGCCTCCAGCCCGGACTTCCTCCATGTTGAAGAAGGAAGGGGGGGAAAAAATGCAAGGAAAAAGGAGAGGGAGGGAAAAAGGAAAAAAAAAAAAGAAAAAAAGAAAAAAAAAAATCAGTGCTGTAGGTTAGGGTCATGTGGGATCATGCTGGGGTGGGAGTGGGAGGGTTTGTTTTTTTTTTATCTTGCCCTAGGTGTGGCTTTATTGCCCCTGCACTTTTTGGGGGCACTATAGTAGGGACACCCTGTGGCTGTGCTGGGGTTGCCCATAGGGGCCTGGTGCTGATGCCCTCTGGACTGACCCTACTGGGATCATCAGCTGGGGCCAGTGGTGGGTTTCTGTACCGTTTTTATACCGCTGTTTTTTAATAGGAGTGTTTGTGGCTTTACCAAACAGGGACTGACACAGCAGCCCTCCTCTTCTCCATCTTCCTCCTCATTTCAGCAAGGTGAGGCTGTGGCCAGTCCCCACAGGTGGTGGGAGCAGAGGCTGCTGGCTGTGGTGCCTTCATGTCGGTGCAGGTGAAACTGTTAGAAATGGTTTATTTTATTCAGTTCCCAGTCCCAGAACTGAGCCTGTCCCCCAGCCCCTGTACCCCCGGGGCCTGGCAAGCAGTTCACATCCCTTGTCCTTTTGTACAGGATGTTGCTTTGGGGTCCCAACATGGGAGAAGTGCTGTCACCTCCATAACACCCCATGGTGCCCTCCCTCCCCCTTCACAGGGACACTCTCTGTCCCCACAGAGTCCAGCACAGGGCTCCTGGCTTATCTGTGCTCCTGCCAGGAGTTGCATCCTTGTCCACTTCCTATCTGCTTCCTTAACTAAAATACAGCAGCTCTGACCTGTTGCGATCTCCCAGTTATTTTCCATTGCCCCAGGGGTCAGTTTTGTACTTCAGTGAATGGGGAGGAGGATCTGGAGGCCCTCAGCCTTCTTCTTGTCACTTACATGAGGGGCTGAGGCCACCCAGTGCTTTTCCTTCTCTGGGGGCTCTTTGCCCCCTTTTTCTACTCTTCCCACCCTCTGTGCCCATCTATCCCTACAGTTTTTATATGTGTGTGTATATACTATAAATTTTGTTGGTTTTGGGTGGAAGGGAGCTGTTGTTGGCAGCCGACTTCCCTCACCCAATAAAGGTGGTGTCACCGCCATGCCCTGCTCCTCTTCTCTGTCCCCGTAGTGCAGCTACACGAGGCCGTACACTTCCATGTGTTTATTAACAAGGGGGAAGCTGGGTGGTGGGGAAGGGGGGACACGAGGCTGTGCAGCCAATCTGCTGCTTAAGTCCATTGCCCATCCATGGAGTGAGCTGAGAACAGCCACAACTCGTTGCCTGTCCCCTGGTGATGGCACCTTGCTGGTCCTGGTGTCAGACGGTGACCTCAGTCTTGCTGTTGGTGGCCAGGTGCCGGTGAGCCTGGCCGTACAGCGGTGCCGTGGGCCCAGGCCGGCGTAGGCCCCGGGGGAGGCCTCCCTCCCAGCCCCCTGGGAAGGCTGAGCCCCCTGGCGCTTTGGGGAGGCCCTTGGCCTTGGTGATCCCTGGTGGGGGGCAGCCCTCGGGCCCTTCGGTGGTTGGGAAGGGCAGAGTGCTGGGGGGGGGGCACCTCTGGCTCCCCAAAACGCATGTAGAAGTCTTCAGGAATGCTCTCTGCAGGGACAGGGACACTGGTGTCACCCCCGTGGGGCACCCCATCCCTTGGCAGGGGGAAATTGACTGAGAAATGGAGTTGGGGGGTGGGGAGGGGGGCATTGGGGGTCTTCTGGGTGCTGATTGGCTGGGAAGGGGGTGGATTCTAGCTGCTGATTGGTGAGGAGTGTAGAGAGAGATCTTGGGCATTGATTGGCTGAGCAGTGTGGAATGTCCATGGGGGATCCTGCTGACTGGTTGGGTGGTGCTGCAGGTCTGGGCAGGAATCTGTATGGTGATTGGCTGGGGAACACAGTGCATGCATGGAGAGGGATCCTGGACACCAATTAGCTGGGCAGCGGGTCCATGAGGGGGATGCTGGGCACCGATTGGCCAGGCAGTTGGTCTATGGAGGGTGGATCCTGGGTACTAACTATGATAGTGCCCATGGGGTGGATAATGGGCACTGATTGGCTAGCGATGGGTCCGCGGGGGAGAACCTGGACACTGATTGGTTGGGCAGTGCTGGGGGTCCATGGGAGGATGCTGTGCATTGCCCCCTCCCCGCCATGCCCCCGTGCCCTCCCACTCCACACTCACCTCCAGCTGTGAGTGTGCTGTACGCAGTGTAGTTGGGCGCTGGTGGGCTCAGGCTGCTGCCCAGCAGTGGGTGCTTGCTGTGGCCGTGAGGCCGCCCCAGTGAGGTGACACCAGTGCTGTCCACCGCGTTGTTCAGGGGCAACTTGTCTGGGGGCAGAGGTGAGGGCTCAGGGGAGTGCAGAGCCCTCTTAGATGCCTCTCCCTTTTCCCCCCATGGGCAGCAGCATGCCCAGCAGCAAGCTGGCACCTCAGAGAGGCTCTGAGAAGGGACTGGGAAGCCTATGCCTTACCTGTGCTGTTCCTTGGGGGTCCCCGGGGCAGCCCCTCGCCCAGCTGCACCTGCATGCTGCCCATCAGGCCATCGATGTGTTCGGAGGGACCGTGGCCCGGCTGCTTCAGCAGGTCGGTGAGCGTCCTGGGGAGGGGCACAGGAGCACAGGGCCATCAGGCGATGCCTACATCCCCCATCCCAGTCCAGGTGTCCCTATTGCCCCACGCTGCAAGCTCTGGGGAGAAGGGGCGGCCCCCTCACTGGAGCCATTTGGGAGCAGGGCCTAGGGAAATGATGAAGGAAGAGGGTCACCCCTCTGTAGCAAGGAGGCTGCGCCAGTGGCCTCTGGTGTTGCCATTCACTGCGTCCTCCCGGTAAGCGATAGCATTAAACATTAAGCACTGTTACGTAAGACACAGCACCCTGCCATTTACTGTTCAGGGCTGGGGATGCTGCAGCACCGCTGTAACACAGTGGCCATCCCACAGCAGGGCACACACCGGGATCATGCCTTCATCGCAGTGAAAGCCGATGGGCTGCGTTAAGCTGAAAGATGCCATCAGGTGGAGGAAGGTTGTCCTTCCACTCTCCTCAGCACTGGTGAGGCTGCACCTGGAGAGCTGTCTGCTGCAGATCTTCAATAGCCACCTGGGCACACTGCAGGGAGCAGACAGACCCAGAGCTCCCTGCCCACCTCAGCCCATCACCTGAGCCTCCATCAGCGCTGGGCTTTGCACTTGTAGAGGTGCCTCTACCCCATAAACCATCTCCTCCTAAAGATCCATCAGCCTTCTGCAGCCTAGCCCTCTCCCCATCAGAACTCCCAGTCTGTGGGGCTGTACCGGCATGGCCCAGCAGCCTGGGGCTGATGCCAGGCAGCGTGCAGGGCCGGCGGCTCGCGGGGCTGTGGCTGTCACTGCGGGAGCTGCTGTGCTGTCAGCTGCTGCCTCCCTTGCATGTCCCTAGGGCCCAGCACTCACCCAGGCTCGTTTCACCAGGAGGTCCGATGCGATTTGACCTATTTCTTTTTTTTTTTTTTTTCCTCGGGTCTATTTACCAAGCTCGAGCAGTCCTTTAGCTGCGACTTTTCCTCTCCAGATAAATCCATCAGTGCTCTTTTCCACAAACCTGCCCCTGGCCCCAACTGCCCAGACAATAACAGTGAGAGCAGCTCCGTTCCCATCCGCAAGTCTCAAGCACAAGAGGTGGCCCTGGAGGGCTTCCCATCGTGGTTTTGGAGGACACTGACCCTATTCTGAGGGTCTGGGGAGGCTCAAGTTGCATCGACTTAGTTCACCTAAAGGTCTGGGATGGCCTCAGAGTGCAGCTCGAGATGAAGACTGTAGGGCACATCAAATTCCTATCTGCAATATAGTACCAGTGAGCCCAGTGAGATCTCCATCCATCACTGTGGCCATGGGTGCTAGGTGGGCCCTAGGCAACCTGGATGCAGTGCACAACCCCACCTGGAAGATCTGGCCAATGGACACAACCTGCACCCCCAAAACCGTCCCACTGTGAGCTCCAGGAGTGAGCAGAGAGGAAAGTTCTGGGGGAGGGAGGAAGATGAGAACATGGTGACATCTCCCTTGAATGAGCTGGAATGCCACACTTGGTCCCTGAGCCACTGATGCAAAAAATAGAGGTGACAGCATGGGACCTCACCACTGGGCCTTGTTCGGGTATCCCTGGAGATGGAGGCTGGGTCCACACCAGGAATATCCAGCAGAGTTGGGGCCCCAGAAAGCACAGAGACCAGCCTGTTCCTTTTCTACAGAGCCCCCAGGCCCCTTTCCGTGGGCCTCCTGTAGGTCTCTATGAGGATGTCCTCATGTGGTAGACACGAGCAGATCCCCCTGCCCTGAAAGGATCCCAACATCGGCAGCCTCAAGAAAAACATGGGCAGGTGTTCCTGACTCACAGAGCCTTGGGCACGCCGAGCGAGCATGGGGACGGTGCCAAGTGCTAGCCGAGTAGGAAGGAGTGAGCCTGGCGGAGCCGCCATTCGGACCTGCAGAGGCACAGGGACATGGGGGAACCGCAGTGTTTTAGTGCCTGAACCTCTTTCTGGACCCAGCTGTGAGAGCCTGGAGAAGAAGCTGTGTTTGAGGTGGACCACACCGAGTGTGAGCAGCAGCAAGAGTGGAAGAACAGTGACAAAATGGATGGACGGGTGGATGAGCGAAAGGATGGATGGATGGGTGGAAGGATGGGTGGATGGGAACAGGAACCAGCGAGGCCGTGCAACAGGGAGCTGGCCCGAGGCCACGCTGCAGCTCCTGAGGAGCAAATGAGAAGCTGCAACCTGCGGCATCAGGCGGGACGCGAGATCGCAGTGCCCATGCGCGGCAAGAGGCAGGTGGAGATACGGTGCCCAAATGAGATATCTCACATCGGGACAGAGGAGATGGTGGCACCTGGCTGGGACCTTCAGCCACAGATGCACAAGACCCCAGTGCGTGCCAGGACAGAGGCAGGCTCCTGGATTTGTCCCTGAGAGGCACCCAAGGGAAGCTCGCCTCCTCCCGCTCCATATGGTGGTGTCCAAAAAAATCAGTAGCCTCGGGGAAAAAAGGATCTGCTGGGCAATGAGCCGCGTGTTCCCCATGCTGGAGCATGCTGGCAGGAACTGGAGTGCATCCTTGGAAGGGGGTGCACAGAACTGGGGAGACAGCAAATTCCACAGCACCTGGTGAAGCGAGAAGGGATGGGAATAGAGCCAGGACTAGGTGTCCCCAAGCAGATCCCCATGCAGGTCTCTCAGGTGGTGGATACAACCAGAGCATCATCTCAGTGAAATAAATTCCTTGCCATGCTAAATTCCCAAAATAAAAGCCCAGGAAGATGTGTTTATGTGTGTGCACACATGTGTGCTGGGGGAGGACGAAGAGGGCAGATCTGAGTCAGAGCCGCAGGGGCAGGGCTGTACCCGGGGGGGCTGTAGCTGCTGTCAGCTGCTGAGAAGTGTTAAACTCACTGAATGTGATCATCGGGGGAGAAAAGTGAAAGGGGGGGAAAAAAAAAGAGGAAAAAGAGGAAGAGAAACATCAACCTGAGTGGAGGAACATAATGCAAGGAGGGATCAAGGGGACTGCAGCCACTAGCCCTGCCTGTCCCTGTCCTCCCTGTCCCTGTGCCCATCCCTCCCCAGCAGCAAAACCACGATTTGGGGGCAGACACAGGACAAGAACCGTTTGCCTGGAGCAGGAGCTCAGATGAGAAGTGAGGGGCTGGCAACCCCATGGTATGCAGCTTGGGTCCCCTCCCTGGGACTGACATCCCACCAGGGTACAAGGAACACACGCAGGCAAAAAGCCACTTCCAACAACAAGCACTCTGCCCACATCATCAGCTGCTGGGGACAGAGGGACAGCACTGAGTCAGGGATGAAGGGGACAAGGGATGGAGGGGATAAGGGATGGAGTGGATGAGAGATGGAGCGAGTGGACAAGGAGTGGAGAGAGTGAAAGATGGAGAGGATGTGACATGCAGGAGACAAGGGAAGGAGGGGATGAAGGACAGAGGGGATGAAGGGTAGAGGGGACGAGATAGAGGGGATGAGGGACAGAAGGGATGAAAGACAGAAGGGATGAGGGATGGAATGGATGAAGGACGGATGGGATGACAGACAGAGGGGATGAGTGACAGGAAATAAGGGTCAGAGGGGTGGAGAGATGGGGAGGATGAGGGACAGAGGGAACGAGGGATGGAGAAGACGAGTGACACATAGCTGCCACCACCACCCCTCTGCATGCTAGGGTCTGGGGACTCTCTCATCCCCTTGGGGACGAAGTGACAGTGGGGCTCACCCTGTGCATGGGGCTGGGGGAAGTGGGAGGACCGAACGAGACCCCTTTACCTGGAGACCGTCATCTCAGTCTGGGGGCCTTGTGCCTTCTCCAGGCCCAGCTTGGTGAAGATGCCCACCAGCACCATGATGGCCACCACGCCGCAGATGATGTAGACGATCATGTTGGTCTTGTCACGGGTGGGGCCCTCGGGGCTCTCATCCACACGGGCAGGCGGCTGCCCCGTGTTCACCCAGTTGGGGGTGTCGTAGTTGGAGCAGCCGCTCTGATCCAGCCGCCTGGCCTTGAACTGGCAGCAGAAGCGGTACCCGCAGGTCCCACAGCAGTACTGGTAGATGCCGGCGTTGCAGTTGAATGGCGGGTCCCACTGCCCCATCACGTCGTAATACCCGCGGCAACGGTCCCCTCCTGGGGTGGGCTCAGTGGGCGCGGGGGCTGTGTCCTCCACCGCCGGTGCCCGGCTGCTGTTACCGCCGTCCCCAGTGCCGGGCTCGGCGCCCCAGCTCCTCTCTAGCAGCACCAGGCAGCAGATGCCCACCACGTAGCTCCGCTCCATCCGCCCGCGGCTCCGGGGGGCCATGGCCACCCCCAGAAGACCGAGCGCTGCTCCACTGGAGGACCCCCCCCACCCCGTTCCTCCGTGCACCGTGGCGAGGGTTACAGCTGCTTGCCTGCCCAGCGAGAGCCCTCCCGGAGCAGCCCCATGGCTGGGGGGAAGCCCCGAGGAGGGGATGCAAAAAGGGAGGAAAAAAAAAGGGGGAAAAATTAAGAAGTGGGGGGAAAAAGTGCACTTCCGTCTCTGTTCCCCCAGAAACGGCCAATGGGGTTCTGAGGTGCGGGATGCAGAGGTTCGGGGGTTCGGGAGTTCGGGGGTTCAGGGGTTCGGGGTTCGGGGCTCAGGGCTGGGGCAGAGCCCCCGGCCGGGGTGGGGATGCGGGCAGCGGTCCGGAGCGGCGAGAACCCTCGGTCGCCTCATCCCCGCCGCACTGCTGGCACCGAGAGAGGGAGGGAAGAAAGGGAGAAGAAAAAATAAGAGCGAAGAAGCGAAAAGCCCTCGGCACCGGGAAGGGAGGGAGGGAGGAGGGAGGCGGCAAGGCACGGCTCGGCGGGGAAACCGGAGAAGCTCCTGCAGCAGCGCTCCGCCGCTCGCCCGCCCGCCCCGCCGGGCGGCACCGAGCCGGCCCGCCCCGTCGGGTGGGGACCGCCCCGCGCCCCTCCCGCGCCGCGCAGCTCCGGAGCCCCCCGGGGGGACGAGGAGAGAGGGGCAGCGGGGAGAGCACCACCTCCGGGGAAGGGTGGAGCTGCTGTGCCGGCACCTGCCAGCATCCCCGTGGGGGCTGCGGCCCCAAATGACGGTGGTTGGGGCTCCATCTCATCCAAGGGGCGTCAATACGCAGAGCCATGGCACGGTGTTCTCGATGTCACCTCTTGGCCTTGGGCAAACGCTCGGGATGGCAGCCCCGTTCCCAGCCCCGCACACGCAGATGGGTGTTATTCCCCCGCCTGCGCTCAGCGCTGTGGCTGGGAATGGGCTGCGGGGAACCGCACCGCGCAATGCCCTATATACACTGCGGGAGCATATGTGCGTTTGCCATTAAAATGATAATTGCAAACATTCTGAAGTCGAGATGTACAAACTCCCCGCTTCCCAACGGCGTCGGGTTCAAACCCAAACAGTTTCTTGAGGGGTCGGGAGGGAATTTGTTCAAAGCGAGAGCTTTTTTAGAAAAAAAAAAAAAAAAGGAAAATAAATGCATACAGTGCGTGCTGCACAGGGAGTCAGCATTTAAACCTGGCTGCGTTTAAGGGGCGGGGGGTGGGGGGGGGGCACAGACCCCATATGTCCCTCTGGTGTTGACCCCACCCCAGGAGCTACCCCAGCATCCGTACACAGTTCCAGCACTGGGGATGCAAGAGAGCAGCAGAGCGATCCCATCCGCCCGAGCTCACTGGGCTCAGGTTGGAGCCATATGGCCAGGAACAGCGTGCGGTGTGCCGGCTCCGTGGCAGACCGGCAGAGCTCCGCGGGCACAGCGGCCATGCCAGGGCAGCGTGGGGAGATGCCTGCATGCAAGCCTGTCTGATTTGGTAGAATATTCCTACCTGGGCCCTACACAGCCACCTGGACAGGTTGTATTGCTGGGTTAAGGTCCATGGGATGAAGTTCAGCAAGACCGAGTGCTGGGTCCTGCACTTTGGTCACAACGACCCCAGGTTGCTAGAGACTTGGGGCAGAGTGTCTGGAAAGCTGTATGGAGGAAAAGAATCAGGGGGTATTGTTCGATACTTGGCTGACTATCAGCCAGCAGTGTGCCCAGGTGGCCAGGAAGGCCAAAGGCATCATGGCTTGTATCAGCAATAGTGCAGCCAGCAGGAGCAGGGAGGTGACCATCCCTCTTTACTCAGCTCTGGTGAGGCTGCACCTTGAGTGCTGTGTTCAGTTCTGGGCCCCTCACTACCAGAAGACATGGGGGCCAGGAGTGTGTCCAGAGAAGGGCAGCAAAGCTATGAGGGGTCTGGAGCACAAGTCTGATGGGGAGCCGCTGAGGGAACTGGGGTTGTTCAGTCTGGGAAAGAGTTCAGGGGAGACTTCATCACCCTCTAGAATGACCTGAAAGGAGATTGTGGTGAGGTGGGGGTTGGCCTCTTCTCCCAGTTAAAAGCAGTAGAATGAGAGCCTCGAGTTGCACCAAGGGAATTTCAGGTTGGATACTAGGAAAAAGTTTTCAGAAATAGCAGTGCTGCAGTGGCACAGGCTGCCCAGGGAGGTGGTGGAGTCACCATCCCTTGAGGTGTGGATGTGGACATGGTTAGTCAGCGCAGTGGGGATGGGCTGACATTTGGACTAGGTAATCTTAGAGATCTTTTCCTACCTTTTCCACCTCCAACTCTTGGCCAGCTGCTTTCTGGCCTTTGGTAACCCCATGTGGACCTGCAAGCCAGCTCTGCCCTGAAGCACTGCTTTGCTCCACAAGGTTTGGAGAATTAGCAACACCTGAGCAGCCCTTGCACCATCTTCCACATCAGAAGACATTTCCCGCTGCTTCTCCTCAGGGCACGATGCTGTGGCCCTGCTCCCTGCCCGCTTCCTGCCCTCCCAATGGGATGAACATCCCCACCAGGCTGTCACCGTGTCACGATGTCACCGGTTCACGGTGACGTCTTCCCACATCCCTGGAGTATCACTGCAGTTTTGGGGTCACTGATGTCAAATGCTGTTGTGCCTCGTTGCACCCATGCTGGCAACAAATGCAAACTCGGGGGCTCTCCCTGCACACTCAGACCCACCCCACCACATCCTTCTGGCCCAGTGTGTGTGGCAATCCTGCTCCCCCAAAATGTGTCACCCCTCTCCCACCACTGGGCTTTAATGAGATGTTAATTGGGGCTGATGTTGCCCAAGCGGGGCAGAGCTTTCCTGGCTCTGCGGGGTTGCTGCGGGTGTGTGTGCTCCCAGACAGGCCGGGGCTGCAGCAGCTTTATTCCCTCTTGACCCATTTAAAGCAAGCATCGGTGACTAAGGGAGCTGGCAGTGGGATAAAAATACCTCCCACTTGTTCCCTGCGAGGCCAGAGACGGAAATAGGGGTGCCGTCACCTCTCTGGGGACCGGTGGGGGTCACCCACTGTTTCACGATCCCAAAGGACTGATGCTATGTGTGCTGCATCCCACATCACACTGTGCTTCCCGCAGCACTGAGACTGCATGTGTGGGGTTTGAGCCCCACGTCCTGCAGAGCGGGTCCCCAGTGCAGCTGTCCCCGCAGGACCCCATGCATCCACCTGCACGGCCCTGCTGCTCGCTGGGTGGAATCCTGCAGCACCAGAGCTAGCGGCTGCACTGCCCAGAGTGGCAGCCCTCCTTCCTACATCTGCGATTCCAGCTCCGACTGTGTTTTCATCATTCTAATAATAAGCGCGAATATAGTAGGGATGAATCACGAGCTGCGGGTTTCGCCCCTCCTTCTCCCTAAATCCATCTTGGGGGAGCGGGATGGGGGAAAAGGAGGCTGGGGCACGGAGGAGACGCGGTGGGGACACAGCACCACGTCAGTGCCCCCTCCTGGTTGTGACCATAGCACCCGGGAGCCCTCCTTCTCCCCTCCCCTGCACAGCCCTATTGCGTCGAAGCACCATCCAAACCCCAGGGCACTCCCAGAGCATCCCCAGAGCACTGCTGGTCTGCAGCCAGCTGTCCCTATTCACACCCCAGGGAGTTTTGCACCTCTTCACCTTGAGTGCTCCGGGTCAACAGCACCCAAACCCCCGGTCACTGTGGGGTTTGCCTGATGGGAACCGCTCGCTTTGTTGCAGGGACCTTTAGCAAATGTTAATGCTTTCTTTTCGCTGGAAAGCTCTCTGGATGATCTGCCAGAACAGATTTCACACGCTTCTCCTAAAATTATGCCCTTTGCTTTCCCAGCACTTGGGAAGAAGCACAGCCAGTCATGCTAGCGGTATGCGGAGAATGGCTGCATGGGGCCACATGTTAGAGAGGCGAGGGCCGAGCCCACAGGTGGGCTTCCTGCAGCCCTCCCACCTGCACACAGCCCCTGCAGCCCACTGCATCCCCCTGCATCCCCAAAAATCTCCCTGCATCCTGACATCCCCAGCATCTCATCACATCCTCTCTATATTCCTTGCATCCCTGCAGCCTCTGTATCCCCCCTCGTCATCACATCCCCCTGCAGCCCACTGCATCCTCTCTATATCCCCTACATCCCTGCACCCCCACAACCTCACCACATCCTTGCTGTATACCCTGCATCCCTTTACATCTCCATATCTCCTCACATCCCCTTGCAACCTTACATCTCCAGCATTCCCTGTATCCCCCCACACTTCCCTGCATTGCCCCACATTCCCTATGTTCTCCTACACCCCCCTATATCCCCTGCATCTTACCACATCCCCCTACATCCCCCCACATATCCCCATGCCCATGGTTCCCCCCATCTGTGGCAATCCCACAGGGATCTCCAGTGAAGGACCCTCACCCCTGCAGGGATCTGCCCCCTGTCAAGGCTGGGGCTGATATCTGCCCCCCCTCCAGTGTGTGTTACAATCACCCCCACCTGTCGGTGGGGACACTCAGGGTTTACTCTTCCCCGTGTATTCATTTTGGAAAATGCAGCAGGGGGATGCAGCCCCGGCCCTGCCCTCCCCGCACTCAGCAGCGACTCATGAACACCACTATGGCTGTAGTTGGAGCTGATTATGTACATCTTAAGTGACTCATTGGGGAATTTTTATTATTTTATTTTTAATAACTGGCGGTGTCACTACGGGGCATGAAGTTTGCTTGGCTGAGTTTGTTTCAGCAGAGATAAATAATTGAGGAGTTGGAGAGCAAACAAGGAGCGCTCCTGGGGAGATGCCCTGGGTCATACCTCTCCTTGCCCACCCCACATGCCACTCCTGCCCTTCTGTGCCCACATCGCCTGCGGCCAGGATATGCCATTGCTGTGGCCTTCAGCATCACATCTGTCGGCACTGATGGTGGCAGTGACTTCACTGAAACCCTTTGGGGAGCAGGAAGGGAAAACTCCTGAAAAAATCCCATTCACTCATCCCTGACCGC